CCCCCCCCTCTAAAAAAATTTAAAATAAGCAGCAACACAGTACCACTTGTTAAGTAAATATGTAACTATAAGTTCCACCACGAATTTTTTAACTATGGATTCTGTTCGTCTTGCAAAGACTGGAAAAGGTTCCGCTTCTTGAAACATGAAGTCTCCAGCTTTTTCACAATGTCGCGTATCAATTTGTTATGACAAATCAACATTTATGTGAACACCTGTTAACTGTATTTTTAAAATCCTAAATAAATACTCATCAGAAATCGAAGTGGGTTATTTCTTCAGATTTGAAACGGTTTACAGCCTTGGCAATTTCGCTTTGAACAGCAAGTCCGCCTTTTTTTTCAATCTGAAGACTCGCTGTGCATTTTGCAATTTCAGAATTACAAAGTTCTATCTCCGCAGTGCCTAGTTTAGATAAATCTCTCGTCAAAGATTTTGAGGTTCACATCATGTCAAGCTTTTCGAATGCAATTCTTTAAGATTCAATATGTTGATAATGAAGAATCCGAATAATATTTCGATTTTGATTGAGCAGATAAGAACTTCATTAAACTTTGTTTTTTGACCACCAAAAATCAGTGTGATCATACTTTATTTAGCGGCCGTATTAGATGACCTTACACGGCTGAAGCAGACTGTCTCCTGTAAACTGTTGCAATTTCTTGCTGAGATGTCTCTTTCTACATCGGTGCAAACGCTGTTTTTCTTTTTTAATCTCCTTGCACGTCCATAAAATCTTTTTTTCCTCAATTTTTTAATTATATTTGAGATTTAATTTTTTTTTCTCCTTTTTTATGAAGAAGAAAGTAAAGTTGGTGCCGTGTTGGTTCCACAAACATCCTGTATAAACTGGTAGGCCTAGGAAACTAGCCAGTAAACGGTTTGGGAGATGACCGGAGAGAAAAATGAATATCTCGACAAAGCTGTGAATACGTAAACCCCGTGTGTAGGCCGGGGGTCTTGTGTGTGTTAGGGGTGGATAGGAGGAGGAAAAGGGAGGGTTGTGTTTGAGGGGGGCAGTGAGAGGAGAGGGGAGGTGGAGTGGGGGGTTAGCAAGAGAGGGGGAGTAGGGGTGGGGGTGGCGGAGGGATGTGGGGGATTCTTTTTATATCATGTCAAATTGATACGGTCGGGTGCACAAAAATAGTTCTAAAATCTATGCAAGGTGCGTGGAAGAGAGGTGTATTGTTACGTTTCCCGACCACCACCCCCCCCCCCACCCCCACCCACATTGTGTTATGGTGTGGTTTGCTTCTTCTTTCCTTTCATACATCTATCGTCCATACCTCTCCTTCTTTTTTGTGTTTGTTACCCTCTTGTAACAATTCTAATCGTCGGCATTTACAAGAATTCATTGTGTTGCAAGTTTCGTAAGATTTTTTACTAAAACTGAACTAAAGCACCAACGAATAGAGTTAGTTATTGCCATTTGTATACTCATGTTGTTCCATGTGTACTTTGGAATACTATTGTACTTACTCTCTCCCATTCTCACAGCCAACGAGCTGGGGTGAAGCGTCTATATAATCAAATAATCACTGCTTCCCTTCCTAATTTTGAAACTTTATCGCTGTCAAATTCACCTATAAACGTAAACCTCATAAATTAAATGCAAAAAGACGTTCATAATCAGCCTAACATTCAAAAAGGTTTCACTGCCACAGAAATAGCCTGCTCACCCCTCTCGGGCCACTCCATTAGCAGTCACAAGCTTTGATTAAGTAAGCTTAAAGTGAAGCTGGAAGAGTCTACCAATAGAGTTGAAGGGAACATGTCCATAGCAGTCAAAACTGTTTCATTGCCACAAATACCCTGTTCACCCCTTTGGGGCCACTGTTATAAGCAGTCGCAAACTCTGATTATGTAAGCTAACTATTACACCGGTCGGGTCTACCTCACAGATGTGAGGGGAACTAACTCCTAACAATCTCTTGACTGCTGCAAGCGCTTGCTTTTTTTCCTCGACTTTTTACCGTCCTATAATCAGATCATGACCCCGATTATGACACCGCCTCCTGGCCGCGAAAGGCTAGACAAAAAAAGCCAAATGTGAAATTTAAAAAAAAGGATAATTGTCATGTTCTACCAAAGAATTAGACTCACGGGTAGATCTATAACATATAGATCTAGTACTGACATCTCTGCTTCTTTGCTTTGTGTTTGTGTATTCACGTGTAAAGTTAAATTTAATTTTAGTTGGAATTAATATTTAATAAGATACTTTCCCGATTATTTTGGCGGTTGAACATACAATATGAATTCCGGATTTATTTTCATTCACAAATCACAACTCAGAGTCGCCGCCTCGAGTAAGATTCTTGTGCGATATCTCCAGGCCATATCTGGTCCCGTTTCACTTTGAGTACCCAGTCAAACAATTCAACCTTCGCCCCTGCAAACGAGTGTCTGATATGAGTAAGATAACTTTAAAAAAAATTGTTTTACGGCTCTCACAACTGCATAAGGTCCTAAGAGCGCCCGGGACACACTAAACATTTTCATTTGGTAGGACATTTTGAATTTTGCCCTGGTGGCGGCTGAAGCCTACTCTTATCGATTTTGGACCACCGAAGGATCTTTCATGTGTGCAACTTGCACACAGGACCTCTGAGATTTTTCGCCCTTGTCTGAGAAGGCTAGGTGTAGATCTTTCCTACCAGACGATCAGGGGTGTGGCAGAAAGACAGCAGTAAGGAGGAGCCAAGGAGTTGAAGTAGAAGGGCTGCAGAAAAAGTCAATGGCCCAGAGGAGAGGGCAAAGAGGGTCAGGGTGTGAGGGGGTGGTGGTAGAGAGTGGAGACGAAAGCAGACGACAGAATATTGTTAGAGAGCAAGAAAGGATGTGAAAGGTGACAATTTTCTAGAGAAGGAAATTTCCCGTTACTGTCCAGATTTGAACCCGGGACTTATTGAATGAGAGGCTAACACCTTCACCTCTTGACCACGAGAGCTCCCGTAAGATAACTAACATAGCACAAAAATAAGATACTAGACGAAAAAACAACCCAACAATAACAACAACAACAACAACAACAAAACCACCACCACCAACAACAACAACAGCAACAACAACAACAACAAAACAACAACAACAGCAACAACAACAACAAAAACAACAAACAACAATAACAAACAGCAACAAAACCATCACCACAACCACCACTACCAACAACAATAAAACTACAAAAAAACAACAACAACAACAATAATAACAACAACAACAGCAACAACAACAACAATCAGAGAAACAATTTTTTTTTTTAACTCAACATGCACGGGAAGGCTATTCCTCTTTAGTACGTTGCGAAATACAAGTTTTGGCTCTCGAATTTCCTTTTTTTTCAATCCCTTGCCCATTTATATGAGATTGACGCTTTCTTTCTGGTTAGTCGAAAAAAGGGCGTATGAAAGTGCCCAAAAGTGTATTACGTGCATACTTAGTATGACATGTTACTGCATTTAATGCAGATTCATGGATTATATATGTACGTTAATGATCTGAGAGCAATGATGATTTTAGAAATACTGGAGGTAATGAGTGATGATGTGGGATTGCATTTCCAGAGTTTCTAACATAATCTATCTTTGTTTGCTTGACAAGAAAATAAGTTTTTGATCCATGAATAACACTTTACTCAAGACTGATTGAGATAATACATGAACAAGAGACATAAATAGATAGAGAGAATGAGAGAGAGTGTGTGTGAGAAAGAGAGAGAGAGAGAGACATAGAGAGAGAGAGAAAGAGAGAGAGATAGAGAGAGAGAAAGAATGAGAGAGAGAGAGAGAGAGTAAAAGAGAGAAGAGGGAGGGAAAGTGTGTTTGTTTGTGAGTGCGTGTGTGTGTGAGCAAAAGAGAGAGAGAGGGAGAGAGAGAAAGAAAGAGAGAGAGAGAAAGAAAGAAAGAAAGAGAAAGAGAGAGAGAGAGAGAGAGAGAGAGAGAGAGAGAGAGAGAGAGAGAGAGAGAGAGAGAGAGAGAGAGAGAGAGAGAGAGAGAATTGATAGGAGAAAGTGAGGAAGAAAGAAAAGAGATATTGAGAGACAAAATGCGACTGAAGAAAAATATACAAATTAATAGATAGATTGATGGACTGATAGATGAATAGATAGATAGACAGACAGATAGACAGACAGACAGACAGACTGATAGATAGATAGATAGATAGACAGACAGACAGACAGACAGATAGATAGATAGATAGACAGACAGACAGACAGATAGATAGATAGATAGATAGATAGATAGATAGATCGATCGATATTCTAAAAACACACTTTTTAAAACCCCAAACAAGCAAGTTCTCATAATGTTTGTTTTGTGTTTCTTTTCTAGTACACACGATATCCACTGGCACAAGACAGAAGCTCATTTCAGCAACGACAAAACAAAGAGTTTCCAGCCAGCCAATCAGCATGCGGCAGTCTTTCCATCAACCAATGGCATGCTCTCATTCTCATTATCCCATCTGTCATTCCGAACGACACGTGTGCAAGCTTCCTTTGACAATGACCTGGATTTTTATCCAACCACAGAGGTCGACGCTCTCTACAAGGTAAACTGTAAAGAAGTATGCCTACCTGCAGGCCTACCTGCTTGCCTACTAACTAACCTACCTACCTACCTACCTTCCTACCTACCTACCTACCTACCTACCTACCTACATAACTGCATGCCTACCCACCAACATACCAACCTGTCTACCTACCTATCTATTTACTTTCCTACCTACCTACCTACCTACCTACCTACATACCTACCAACTTACCAGCCTGCCTTCCTACTTAACTAACTGTCTACCTATCTACCCACTAACCTACCTACCTTACTTACCTACTTACGTACCCACCTATCTACCTACCTACCTACCTGGCGTCCCACTCACCAACCCATTCACCTTACTCTGTCCCAAAGCGATTCATGTAACAAACAATATAAATACTCGTTTTGATATACGGTATCATGTTAGATAACTTTTCATTTCCAGACAAATCTAAATTTTCCCATCAAAGCTATTTCACATAGTTTTTCTATCTCAAGACTGAGGTGGCAAACGTATCTCCGCGGATCAAGAGTGTAAAAAACAAATAGAGAAATCGAATAATAATAATAATAATAATAATAATAATAATAATAATAATAATAATAATAATAATAATAATAATAATAATAACAATAATGATAATAGGTAAACAGATATTTATATAGCACAAATCCCCGCTCAGCAGCAAGTTCTTGGCGCTTTACAATCTATACTATTACCCCAGCAGACCTGAGAGCATTCTGGAAAAAAAGCCCTCAACCGCCTGGGAAGCTTACAGTGCAAGCAGCAATTTATGGGCGCTAAAACACTAACATACTACCGAAATCTTTTACTGTCTATAGCCGGGTATCATTCCCACCTGGGTGAAGTGAGGAAAATTCGTGTAAAGTGCCTTTCCCAAGGACACAACGTAGGGCCCGCGGCTCGAGCCCCTGATCCTGCAATCTCACAAATTAGAATCCAGTAGCCTAACCAACCCCCTTCTCAGATTACCCATTTCGCATTCTCAGGCCAACACCAAGGGCATGCTACTCTTCCATACTCCAAGAGAATCACAAACCAAGACACGAGTCTGAAACTATCTAAAACTTTAGTTTAGAAACTGTACGAATAAAAACCCGCTTATGTAAAATAAATATGAGACTATTAGTTCAGCTAGTTTTTGTAACGGTTTTACGGCACTTGCTAAACCTTACGGTTATATAATACTAGCTGGGCCCCCTTTCGATGAAAACAATGATCGGTACTTTAACATCAACTGAAAGTCATTGGCCTACTACTTCGACCTTTACAAGCGCGAGGGGTTCCAACTGCAGAACGTCATAATTTTTTTTTTCGGCATCGTCAGGCGCTATCTAGCTAGATCTAGATTCTAATCTAAGACCTGTTGACGTTGTTCCTAGTGGCAAGAAAAAGAATTTGACAAAGGAGTCCAGAAAAAGCAATGATGGGCATCAAACAAAAGGATCACAGTCGAATTTAGCACCAAGTAAAAAAAGAAAACATGAGGCTACATCTATACGGGTCGCACACTTAAAATAGTGCTCAGTATTGTGCGACAATGCACGATAGTATCGAACGAAAGTACGACTTGAAATAAACAAACCCGGCGGATTTTCTAAAATTACAGAGACAGAAGCGTCGGCTTACAAAAGCGATCGGCGAAATAAAGAAATTTAGCTTTTTGCAGCAAAACTGTCTAAAAACTGAAAAAACGAAGGGCGTCATGATCTGGAGAATATTTTAAAGAATTTTTTTTAGCCGAAACTGCATCGGACAAGTGCCTATTCTCCATAGATACAGTAAACAGGGGCCATTAAAAAGCCTTTTGAATAGCAAAATTCGGCCACCACAAATAGAACGTAGATAATAGACTAGCTGGGCCCCCTTTCAATGAAAGAAATGATCTTAGCATTAATATAAACTGAAAGTCATTGGCCCACTATATTTATACTCTACTGGAATGATCCATTGAATGGTGAGAGAAAAGTGACACGCGTGCTTACAAGTTAGCAAACATAATATAATATAATAGATGTAAATATTGATTCTCTATTCCGCTTTCATGGTTGTACACTCCTCAATTTCAATGGTGTGGAATCATGAGTGCCCACGGCTACTGAACGGAGACCTAAGCTCCTTTACAATGGCGTCTTAGAAGAAGGAATTTCCTAAGATTAGAACTCTGTGTGGACGAAACAAAGCATTTTGGAAAAATCGAGGAAAGCAGTTTGCGTGGATTCTTTAAAGTTAGGCCCTTGCCACATGGATGCTGTAGACGCCTGCAAAGTTTCAAAGGTGTGGGTTAGGTAATAAGGAAGGAGTTTGTGCGCACAGCCTCCCAAGTCCACTTATATAGATAGTATAGATGATAGCCGAAGACCAGAGGTGTTATACAAAAGTAACAAACGAACAAAATGAAGGACGAAAGATAAGGGCCTTAGCTGTTTGATAGGAAAGAATAAGAAGCAAACCACACCAGAGCAGGGCACCCGCCCGAGACTCACCTGACCAAATCTTATTTCTTATTTTTAAAGGTATAGTAATCGTGAGATTGCGGGTTCAGAGATTTAAGCCTTAGCTCGGTCCGACGTTGTGTCCTTGGGAAAACACTTTACACGAATTTCCCACTTGGCTCGGTCCCTTCGGAAAGGGGCGTTAAACTCGGAAGTCCCGCCTCTTAAATAACCTTACAGTGTTGATAAAGGCGTTGAATTATAATCCTGTTGTCATGCAAAAGAAAAAAATCAAATAAAAAACAAGACAATCATATGTGCAAACAATCACTTCCTTTCTATTAAAAGTAAAGGGGGGCTCTCGTGGCCTAGAGGTTAAGGTGTTGGCCTCTCATTCAAAGGTCCCGGGTTCGATTCCGGGTAGCGACCAAAAAAA